GAGAGAGAGAGAGAGTCGAGATTGCGTATAACGCGTCACAATCTGACGTCATTTTTAACCAAACACGGCTCACTTTCCGGGTTGACGTACATAAACGTGTGTATCAATGGCGAAGCGTAATACACGATGCTTATATTAAAACTTTTTCTACCAAGCGTATAATTTGCTCACTTGTGATTAAAAGCGGAATACAAAATGAAGATGCGAACTTCCGCGTATAAAAGGAGCTGCATTTTTTTCAGTATTTTATATCGGAATTCCATACGCGACGCGGCTGCATGCGACGCAGTATATTGTGATAATCCGGTGGCATTGCCTGCTGCTTGCAAACTGCAGCGAGATACTAGGGATGTATTAATATAATACTACAAAAGTCGCAATGCTCGATATACACTCCTTACCGTCGCTATCTTCTCTTTACTCATTTCCGATAATGTCGGGCACTTTGTTACTATTCACGTCGGCTTAACGCCTTAGCTCGCGACCGTGCGTCGTGCCAATCACACGTCGGAAGAAAAAAGAGACTCTATCCGCAGGGTGCAATGATACGAAGGGACGTTTGCTAACGTTCTCGTTACATTTCCTCGCGACGCTACTCGCGTAAAACCGAGGAAGTAATCGCTCGACTTACTTCGCGTCGCGTACGGCTAATTACCGCGAGTCACTTGTCACTTGAAGCAAAGTAATTACCGGGATTTCCAACTGCAAAGTGTCGCGAGAGTGAAAGGACGTCTTGCGCGTTAATCGCGATAAAAATTAGACGCGCGTTGAGAGAGTCACATATATACGCGAGATCGGTAGCGATCGGGCGATTATCCATTGAAACTTTTCCTGCCAGCTCGCGGCTTCGCGAGCGAGCGTAAACGTCGTGACGTATATTTGAACGTACGACGCAATTCTCACGGTAGTTTGCGCTGGGACAACCGTAAAGTATTCAGAGCAAACTTTTATTTTTCGTGTTGATACAAAGTGAACGTACTAATACTGCGAAAGTGTCACTCCGGCGAGAACGGAAGCCACAATTTTGTTCTAAAATTTTATAAAAGTTATTTCGATAGTTATTTAAAATTGTGCAAATTGTTTGTGATCGTAATAATTTTTTTCTTTCGCCAAAATTGTAGTTGTGATACAGGTCCGATATTTTCCACGCATTCTTCTCGGTGTGAAGTTCGCATAACGATACCTACGCACTCGCGTGCGATTTCTTCCGGCGATACCGTACGTGGGCACTCGCGAAAGCGCGCCTTTCGATACACATACTTTGTCGCTGCTCGGAAACCGCCTCCACACGTCCGGATTGCATCTCAGCGCGCAATATATCGCGATTTCGAAAAGCGGAAGATCGAAAGAGAGAGAGAGAGAGAGAGAGAGAGAGAGAAAGACAGAGAGAAAAAAAGAATCAGAAGTAGGGGTGAGCTAGAAACGATGTGTCTCGTTGTGCGAAGTAATTGACGAGTTCGCGTGTAGGCGGTCGGGCGCCTAGATCGCCTCGAGCGCACCGTGGGCTTATCCCCAGAGACGAAAAACGAAACGAAACGAAACGAGCAGCCCCGACGGGCGAGCGCGGAGCGAGAGAGGAGAAGAGAGAACTTCTTCTCGTGAAGGAGAGGCGAAGAAACGAGACGATGCAGGAGCGAGAGAGCGAGAGAGGCCAGGGAGAAGTGCAACGAGAAGAGAGAGAGAGATAGACCCCGCTGCTGCTGCTGCTGCTGCTGCTGTTGCTGCTGCTGCTGCTGCTGCTGCATCACCCTGAACTTGCCCGAATACCTTCTCTTCGAACCATACGGTGTGTATCCGCTCACCAATGCACATGGCACCCAAGAGCGAGTTCTCTCTCTTCTCTCTCCTTCTCGCCCATTCTCTCCTACTCTCCTCTTCACGCCTGCCTT